CCTTATTAACTGGTGAGGGGATGAATTGATATCTTCAGGATGTGAATTCAACTAGCTTTCTCCCTCACAGCATGTTGCCTCCTGTGTGAAGTTAACCTCACCCAGGACAAAGGCCCAGTGTGAGTTGGGTGGGAAATAGTTTACAGAGTGAAGACTTTTGTAGAACTTGGGTACTTTAATTACAGAGGTTTCACTCTACACCATACATCGTTTAAGTACAATTGAGTAATCTTCAGGTCAAGGTGACTTTACTTAGACTTTAAATAGAACAAACACTGGTTAGTTTTGTGCCACCTTCACCATTGCGCTGTTTGAACCCATCCTTGCAGCCACTGTGCCAATCCATCTCCATGAGGGTCTTCACGTTCTCATTAAACTTCAATTTTAAAATAAAACTTCCTTCTCCAAGGATTGATCTCTCCCGGTAACATGTCCAGTGTACGCAGGATGAAGTCTTCCAACCCTTGCTTCTTAGGAGCATTCTGGCTGTTCTTCCAGAACAGATTTGTTTGTTCTTCTGGTAGCTTACTGTCTGAAATACATCAAGACAAACCCTAAAGCCCACATTAAGTATCATTTTTGGCTGTAAATCCCTTTGAAAGTATGTTTATCATTTTGCTTTTAAAATTCTTTGGCCACAAGTTAGCATTTAATTTATAGCTGGCTATGATTTGTCAGCCATCATCATGCATACTGAAAAAATCAAACCAAGAAATTCCAACTTCCCAAATTACTTTTCTATGCAGTGCAATTAGCATACATATTAAAATTGGCCATTAATACAATTGGCATGGTGCTATTTTGTAGTTCTTAACTAAGCATTCATTACTTGCAATTTCATAGGAGTTTTTAAATATTCTTTTAAGCCTGTACATATTTGTTCCAGCAGTCAGATATTTTCATGGGATTCTGAAAAGCTCATAGGCTCCAGGATCTTTGCCTATCCTGCCCAATGGATAAAGTAACACTGGCAATTTTTCCAGAATGCTTTTGAGTTAGAAAAAGATCTCATCTTCACAATGGAACCCAGAAACAGTACTTTAAGAACAGATTAAAATCAAGTGTTGGCCATTGCCCAGCTGTATAATTACTACCAAGGACACAGAAAAAAAAATATTTGTTTTTTGAGTTGTTTGGTTTTTTTCTTTTTTGGTGGAAGATCTATCAACAATCTGCGTTATGAAGATGACACAACCCTGCTTGCTGAAACTGAAGAGGACCTGAAGCGCTTGCTGCTGAGGGTCAAGGACTGCAGCCTCCAACATGGATTGAGGCTCAATGTCAAGAAGACAAAGATTCTCACCACTGGACCAATTGGCAGCATCAGGATGGATGGTGAAGAGATTGAGATTGTTCACAGCTTTAGTTTGCTTGGCTCCATAGTCAACACTCTCAGCACCAGCAGTCAGGAAATTAAAAGATGTATTGAGATGGGCAAAATCTGCTGTTAGGGACCTCTCTAATGTACTGAAGAGCAATGGTGTGTCTCTGGAGACTAAGGTGTGTCTGGTACAGGCCACGGTCTTTACAATTACTTGTTATGCATCAGAGAGCTGGACAATGACCAGGGAAGATAGAAGGAGAATTGATGCTTTTGAGTTTTGGTGCTGGAGAAGAGTGTTGAGGGTACCATGGACTGGTAAGAAAACAAACAGATTCATACTGGAGAGGATGGGCTACTCCTTGGAGACAAGGATTCTGAGGCTTCGTCTGACATACTTTGGTCATGTTGTAAGGAGAGACCGGTCCTTGGAGAAGGACATCATGCTTGGTAGGGTGGAGGGCAGGCACAGGAGGGGAGGAATGCCTCTGGGAGGTGGATTGATTCGGTTACTGGGGCAATTGGGATAAATGAGTCAGAGACAATGAGATTGGCATAGGACAGAGCAGAGTTTAGAGCTGTTGTACATAGGGTGGCTATGAGTAGCAAGCGACTCAACGGCACACAACAACAACAACATATATATACTGATTTATTTACAAAGTTTGAATGCATTATTTTTCACACAAGATCTTTTTGTGGGACAACACAAAAGCCTAAGGAACAGGAGGAAAGGTGAGGAAAGGTGGAAGGACTTATAAACAGTAAAATGACTGGAGGGAGTTTCAGTGAAGGTTAGAGATATAGAAGGGTTGATCATTTCCTGTTTTCTTCATTAGAGAATTTGAGGACAAGACACCTTCTCAAGCTGTTAAGCAGCTTGTTATTTGTGGGATGCAAGTTATTAAGCACTTGACTACTTACTCAAAGGTCAGCAATTTGAGCTTACCTCGTTAGTGGCACTTTAGAAAGAAGTTCTGATCATCTGTTTCTAACATGCCACAGCCTTGACAACCCATGAAACACAGTTCTTTTCTACAACACATGGATCCGTCATGGGTCAGAATGTGTTTGATAGCAATGTGTCAATGTATGCTCACAACAAAGAAATAATACCACAGAAGAAAAGTAGATAATCTGCTTTTTTCAGGTATAAATTTTCTGAACTCTAAATACAGATCTGCAGTTCTTTGAAAATCTACCACCCATTCAAAAACCAAAAATTTTAAAAATTTGAAGTGTTTATATTTTACATTGGTTACATGTGTTTAAATACAATATTGTATTGAAGTTAAATAAAAGATATAGTTGATTCTTTTATTATGTAACATTCATGTATTAAATGTTCATATAATGTTAAAATCTTTTATGACTATGTTAAATTATATTTGAAGTTAAGTAAGCTCAACATTAATATTTTCTTTATACAATACATCATTGTTAAGCAGCTAAGAGAATAAACTAATATATCTGAAATGTATTAATATATCATTACCTTAACATTAACTTTTAAAAATTTTAATGTGATTCCTGGGGAAAATGTATTTAAATGAAATGCATTTTGTTTTTCTGTTGGGTCGTTTTTCTATGCCCTCAAGTCTGCTACAAGTTGGAGCAACCCTATGTGCAATGGCTCTGAATCTTGCCCTATCCTGCGCCACCGTCACTATCTCCATACACACCTTAATCCACTGTGATCGTCACTGTCAATTCTCCCTGCCAGTCTTCCTCTCTCATGTTGACCCTCCACCTTTCCAAGCACAGTGTCCCTCTCCAAGGACTGGCCCTTACTAACAATAATCCCAAAGTATTTGAAATGCAGTTCACCCTAATTTCACTTTCTCTAGGACAGACCTGTTTGTTATCATAGCAGTCCCTAGAATATTGCATAGTTTTCTTCAACACCATAACTTAACAACACCAAAATTGTCCAACCTTCAAGTGATAGCAAGAAATTGAGAAAAGCACATCTTAGCTCAGGCACAGCTTAGTTTTTAAACTAACATTGTTGCTCTTTTGTATTCTAAATAGGTCCCTGACAGTAGATTTCCCAATGCAATTCGTCTTTTGATTTCTTGACTGTTGGCACTAAGGGTGTTGATTCGGGGTTCAAGCAAGATTAAATCATTTACAAGTTCAATATATGTTCTATCTATCATGATTTTGCCTGTTGGCCTGGTGATTAAGACGGCTGCTTTCTTGATGTTAGATATAATTGGTATTAATGGTGTTGATCCTTATTATCTGCAGCAAACACTGCAGGTCCTCACTTTCAGAGAGTAAAGTTGTATCATCTATATAATACAGGTTGTTTCTGGGTCTTCTTCTGATCCTGATACTACATTCTTTTTAATAAAGCTCAGCTTCTTGAGTGATCTTCTCAACATAAAGGTTGAGTAGGTGTAGAAAAGGTATACAGCCCCGATGCACACGTTTCTTGATTTTAAGCCATTCTTTGTTCATGCAACTGATTCTTGACCTCGGTATAGGTTTCACAAGAGCACAATTAAGTGTGCTCTTGGGTGTTTTATTGGGTAGCTTTGCTTTATTTCACATTCTGGTGCATATCCTTCTAGATTTTCAACATATATCTCACTATGTTTATATACACACATACACACACACACACACACAAACAAACACACACACACACACATACACATCTAAAAGGATATACAAACTCAAATTCATCACCATTGAGTTGGAATCCACTCATAGCTAACCCTTTGTTGGGTTTTTGAGGCTATAAATCACATGAGAAGAGATTGCTCATCTTTCTCCCAAAGAGACATTGGTAGGTTACCATGGCCTTTGGGTTAGCAGTACAAATTCCTAAAAGTAAATCATCAGAGTTCCCTATATGCTTGTTGTTGTTGTTGATTGCCTTCAAGTCGAGCATGCCTCATAGCGACCCTATGAATAAAAAGTCCTAAAGCTCCTGAATAACTAATGAAATTTATCAAAGTTCATAGGGTTTCTGGAGGCACGTTGTTTAGGAAGTGGATGCCACTCCTGCTTCCAAAATATGCATGTACTTTTTTTAATTGAAGGATATTTTATGTACTATTGTTTGCTGTTGAGTTGTAACTGGCCCGTAGCTGATTTTCACAGACAGTAAATTACATGGGAGGAGATTGTCTATCCTTCTCCCGTGGAGCAGCTGGTGGATTTGAACCATAAGGCTTTGGGATTAAGGCTTTGGGATTGCAGCACAGCTTCTTACCTCAAGGTCATCTGAGATCCCTATGTAGTAGTGGTAGTAATAGTATGTGTGTGTAGTATTGTGTATTGTCGAATCAGAACTGACCCATAGCTGACCCTCCAGCCGATTTTCAGAGGCAATAAATCATACAGGAGGAGACTGCCAATCTTTTTCCAGTGGAGCAACTGGTGGATTTGAACCATGTGCCTTTAAGATTGCAGCACAGAATTTTACCATTAGGCCACCAGAGTGCCCTTACTCGCCGTCTTTTATTCTGAACTTTTCACACATCTTTCCACATCAATTTAGTCTTATGAGGTCTAAAATAAAGAAGAGAGTCTTGTTGGTATGAATAATTTATTGTCAAAAAATTATAATAGGTGACTCTCCTTTGATCTTCTCCTAAAATTTTGGAGGCAGAAAGTTGGTGTATAAAGAAACGAGTCTGGCTTCCGGTGGCCGTTTTGAGTCGAAGAGATGGCTAAACACCATCCAGATCTGATTTTTTGCCGCAAGCAGGCTGGTGTGGCCATCGGGAGATTGTGTGAAAAATGTGATGGCAAATGTGTGATCTGTGACTCCTATGTGCGCCCCTGCACCCTGGTGCGCATATGTGATGAATGTAATTACGGCTCTTACCAGGGGCGCTGTGTGATTTGCGGAGGCCCTGGAGTCTCTGATGCCTATTATTGTAAGGAATGCACCATCCAGGAGAAAGATCAAGATGGTTGCCCAAAGATTGTCAATTTGGGGAGTTCTAAGACTGATCTCTTCTACGAACGCAAGAAATACGGCTTCAAAAAGAGGTGATTGACTGATGGTCCCTTCCTCCCCCCATCAAGCTGCTGCAGCTGCCAGAAAAAACACCAGCAGAAAGGAAGTGGAGCCTGAACACCCCCAAACTTGCCTGTTAGTATCCTGACCCCTTTCCTCCTCCTTCCTCACTCCTCACCCCATCATGTAGGAATGGAACGGGATTCCTCCTAGTGCTCTCTACCTGACTTTCTCAGAAATCCATCAATTGTTCATGGTTTGTCTTGAATTAAAGACGAAGCCTCCACTTAGGCGGATACGCTCTCTACATCAGCAGCTTCTGAAATGACGGTATCATTGCTTCCGTTTGAGGAGTCGCCTGTGAGCCTGTCCTCATTAAGACAGTGGAAAACATGCTCTTAAAGCGGCTCTGATGGCAGTTGACCTTGGTGAGGCCGCGTCAGGGTGTGGTGGGGAGCTCGCAGAACAATAAATGTGGGGTTTGATCTTGTAAAAAA